AGGGAAACTGAAAAGATTGTTAGAATGAAATTACAAGCAAGAGTAAACACTGGCATTTCAAACTCGTCATAGAAGAGACTTTCAAATCTGCTTAACTGATTTGGATATTCAGTTCCTCTTCCTTTTAATAGGAACTAGTCATCTTAACATCTCCATGTCCATATGTGTGTGTATAATATATATATATATATATATAAACACATTCTTTCACACATGCAGTGTTTGTAAACTAAAATTTCCATGTTATGGTAGTGCTCCTATCACTGTGCTGTCTGTTTTATTTCAAGAGGAAAAAAATTCAAACTGAATAGTTGCATCTTGCTTATTATTTCTAATTATATCTCCTCTTACACTGGAAGTGATTTTTGTTTACATGAACAGCAGAGGTGAGAAAAAGAAGCACAATATATCTTAGCCAGTTTCAGTAAACTTAGTCTTGCTAGTGTTTAATACATGGAAGAAAGTAAGTGGAAGAAAAAGTTACTCACGTTTTGGTATAAAAGTCTTGTAACAAAGCTTTAGAGGATCTTTTAAAAACTCTTGGAAATAAGAGAGCAGAAAGGAATTCTCTGTTTGGGGAGGAACCTACAAAAATAAGCATCAGTATTGTACAGTGACCCCCTTTCCTTTATCTATAACCTAAGTGGTATCACCATCTAGTTTTAAGATAGTGAGTTTGATTATACGTTCTGTAAACTAGAGCTTTTTCTTTTTACATGTGTATAAACTACTTAGCATGATGGTGTTCTATCTGAACAACCTAACTACTGTTTCACTCCAGAAGTTTGGTATGTGCTTGGCGCTGCTTGTGTAGTGTGAAAGACTCTTCACTGCAGCCTGCTTCACTGGGGCACTTAGGAGACTCAATTGGGAGTTAATAATTTGATACAGTCTGCGTCAACATCTGATAAGCTCTAAAGCAAAAGAAAAACAAAAATCAAAAGATGGTACAGTCAAGGTTGTATCCTATGGAACTGCAAACTATGGACACATAATAATACAAAATACATGATCTAATAACAAAATATGAGAAGGGATCAGCCTGAAGTCAATTTTCTCGTATGTACAAAAAAGTTGTTTAGGACACTTAAAGAATTAGAAGGTGAAGCAAGAAATCAAAGCCTCTTGGTTTTTTAGCTATCTTGTTCCCCTTACCACAGTCTTAACATAGTCTGAATTTAATATCTCGTGTGGATGTTAGACTACTATCTTGCTTGATACTCCCTTCTAGTTTTATAAGCATATTACAGCAGAGGGCAGTAGGAATCTACTTATGCTTAAAGCTGTTTTGCATCCCAAGCATGCAATTGCATGTGTTTTCTCCTCTCCTCTTCCCCTCTATAATGATATTCAATGGCTAGATAAAGATGACAGTGGGGAGCTGCCATAACTGTTGTCACAGTCTTTGTGAAGGCAAGATCTGTGTTTGTAGATCTGTTTCTGGAGACTGAACTGATTCTGTAGATGCGATGTACTCTGCAAAGAATTCAGGCCCAAGCTGATGGCTGAAACAGCCCTTGAATTCTGGGCAGCTTTTATCTTGGCTCAGAATCCTGTAACGCTTAGTAAAGGGAAAATGATTGGATAAACTATATAGCTTATTCTCAAGCATGTTTTATTTGTCATTTGCTAACGTCTCTTAAGACTTTCCTGGAAGAAGCCTTTCCATCTACTTCCCAGTACAATATCTAGCATCTATAAAACAGAGTCTTTAAAAATGCATGCATTTTGGGGGGGGGGGGGGAGGGGAGGAGGAGGGGAATGGGAAGAGGAGCCAGTGCTGCAAAGCAGCTTCAGCTGGAAACCTTTCAGATGTATACAGCATAATGGTGTCAACAGTACCAGGATTACCTCTGCTCTGTGCATCTCCTCTTTTTATTCCTCACCCGCGTTCAGCATCTTCTGTCAGTGCTCAGGAGCCACTGCAGTGCTGTTGGATTTGGTTGCCATTGCTTCCTGTCAGTTCAGATCAGAGTTCCAGTACTGCAAGCCATCTCAGTAGGTTTGAGATTTCCCTCCTGCCCTGGTTTCATGCCTTTAAGAGGGACATGTGCATGCACCCTCTTCTTTGGCTCAGTGAACTTGCATCTCAGCAGTGCATGTGATAATCTGAGCATAGTGCCAGTTCTCGGCTGAGATCGGTAGAGGCTTTGGAAATTTGCTCCCTCTCCTTTGATTGGAAGTAGCCGAGGTCTGAGGAGCTTCAAGAAAACATTGCAAAGCTCCGCTTTCCCCCGCCCCCTGCCTTTGCCAGGCATGTGAAAGTGTGTGTGTGTGTGGGAAGGAGGGAGCTGTCACTGCAAAAGAACTGTTCAGAAGACTGGGGGATTTACTCATTTCCTAGTTTACTGGTGAGGATCTATCTTACGTTTTTCTACACATAGGATGTATTTTTAACCTTTCTCTCTGATAACTAGAGCATATGGACAGACGGATTTATTCAAAGATATAGATAAAACATACTTCTAATTACACAGACAGTGCATAGGGATCCAGTGGACATGGCTGGCTGTAGAAGTGCATAGTTGTCAGTTAAGCTTGTTAAACTGCAATGTGAATGCAGTTAGAATACAGCTAGAATACAGTCTGTGGTTTGGTGTGATGTGTGAGGTTTTTTTTTGTTTGTCCTTGCACATGTGAAGGAAATGTTGAAATTGGGACCCCCCTACCCGTCCTGTCTACAGAGGACAAAGGCAGGCTGCTCACTGTGTGATGGTTTAGAGCTATCCAAGGGTGGAAAATGCAGGAAACAGCCGAGGTGAGATGCAACTTGCAAAGACCCCCTGTATCCTGTTCTGGTGCCCTCCTTTCCCTGCTGACATCAAGTGCCAGGTGAAGTCTCTTTTTGGAAAGATCACTGTCTTGTAGCATAAGCACCAGGAGGGGAGTCAGGGATATGAATTATTTAAGTCTTCTGCCTTGGTAATGTTTGTAGCTTGTCTCACTGTAGCATTGCTGTTAACTCCATCATTGCACTATTGCAGTGCTCTATGTTCAGATGACCCCCTTGTGCCCTGCTAGTGTGCTGCAGGGGATCGGGGAATACTTGAATGTCTGCCTACTTCTCTGAGAATGACACCCAGGTTGCTCTGATATGGAAACCCACTAGGTACCATGTGGAGAGCACTGCCTCAGCAAACAGATCCTCAACCAGACATCAGACAATGCTTTTTGATAGCTGTCAGTCAAGGGCAGATCCTGTCCTCTTTTTACTGGTGAACAAATAGAATGATACCGTAGAAGTCAGGTTTGCTCTAGTGCATGTGAGATCAAATTATGACTCCTAATCTGTAAACCAAGATTTAACATATTGAGATAAATGCTTCTGTACTGTTGGCTGTCTTAAACCTTAAGTCCAGGTCTTCAGAGCACTTTGATATTTCTATTGCTCAGAAACACTTCAGCTTTTTAGGCTAAGTCACCAGTACGTGTGAAGCTTGGGTATTAAGATGCTGTTATAAAGAATGGATATTGTAATAATGTACGAATCTGATCAGTGAAATACAAAATCTGGACCTCTGTACTTTCAAAGCCAAATATCCCTGCAAAACTCCTCTTGGAAACTGTCTTCACTTTGCATAACTATAAAGACTGTTTTAACAAAACTATAAAACAATCCCTGCAAACTGACAACTCCGAACATCAGTGACGGGACTGTAACTGCAAGTAAGTTAATGACTGTTCCCCTAAAATATAGCCATGTGGGCAGAAAATGTAGTCATGTGTTGAAAATATATTTAAGCCCAGATTTCGTACTTATACCTCAAGAACAACAACGGGCATAAAACAGACCTGTGTAGTTTTAAGGAATCCTTAAATATGCATTGCATGGTATAGTATCACAGTTCTACCAAGAGATATGAATAGTACAGCTTGAAACAAACCTCTCTTCTCAGCCCAGCCTGCTGGGCAGGTGGGTGTCAAAAGGCTATTTTCTTCTGTGGGGCATCAGAAAACTGAATGATTGATTCATCATGTGAGATGTACTAGGACTACACACACAAAAGGCATAGTTTGGGATTTAAATTTGAACTCGCTTGTTTGTCAGTATAGTTTTTTGGTGTGAATATTTGCACTGGCTCTGTTCATGTCTTTCTGGGGGTGACCAGAATCACTGAAACAGCGGAGGAAAAGTTAAATCACACTGTTCTTATCTAATTCAGAGCACTGCATATGGTGCATGCTGTGAAATCACGATGCAGTGGTACTTTGCTTATGTTTAAGTGCCTCTTATTAACAGAAAATGTTGGAAATAATCAGCTGTTCAGAAGACAACAGCAAAATTACTGAAGCAAAACAGTTGAACATCTTCAAACAAACAAGTTTGATCTGAGAAATTTCCAATTCAACAAAATGGAAGCATGTCACACATTCTCTTAACACTCGGAGAAAAGCTTTTGTACTTCTTTAACTTGACAAGCCAAAAGCATCTCATTACAATTATTATTCTGGATATTTGTATGTGATTTAAGTCAGAACAAGGTATTTTGAAAGTTAATGTCACTATTCTCTTTTGCCCTTTTTTGTATCTTTAATTGTGAAGTAAGTTTGAACACTATGACTTCTTCCAGAGACTGTTGAAAGTCTGATTTGAAGATGGTATCAACTAAAGCCCTTTGGCTGGTCAAAATCTTGTGCAGGTGCTAGGGTCAAGTCAGCACCCTACATACTTTCTAATGGAGGAGTTAGGAGGAAACGGAGAAACACACATTCACCCTGAAGCTGCACAGCTTGTCTAATCTAACCTTAGTCAGACTTTTTATGGACAGCTGCTCTAAGGTGCCTACCTCTTGCTTATTCTGAACCAGAAGGTGGTTAGAAATGTTAAAAATCCTAGTGCAGGGTCTTGGGACTCCATCACCATCGAACTTCTGCAAATAATGGAAGTTTTGAATTTTAATTAAGTCTTTTGGATATGGAAATCTGAGGAAAGATTCAAGAAGCGTTCAAGACGCACAGGATTGATCCAAACACAGCTGAAAGAACTCAACAACAGTAGAGCACCTAGCTCTTGAGGATCAGGCAACAGTGGTGGGTGGTAGCCTCATTACATATACTTAAAACCACGTTAACCAAGAGGAAGCAGTCCTACTCTTATAAAAGGAGAGAGGTGCTACATCACTTGGTAGGTCTTCCTGTTTGCAGTGTCTCTGAGATCCATAGTCAGCCCTCTGCAGAGTGGCAGGGGGGGGAAAA